CTGCATAGGCGATACGTAATGGGAACTGGCGTCTAACATCGCCCTTATAGTTAACATGAGGGCTTTCATATCTCTCAATACCAATACTACCACGTGGTACATTTGGCGGAAGTTGAACACTGTCTTCATTTATTCCAACTTTAGCATTATCAAATTTTACAAAAATTTTGTCAGTTTGATTATTCTGATCAGTTTGAATGAATGTTACTTGACCAAAACTTCCATTTATCAAGCCAGTAGAAACATTTAAATTAATTACTAACATAACTTTTGACCCTACACTTATTTTTAAGCAAGACACTAATGGTGTATCAGTCACTTTAACACATGTGGTTTTAAGCGTCATTTTAATGGTTTGAACATCTTTTGAATAATCTAGAGCACTGATGGACACAGAATTCAGGCATTTTTGCAAAAAATTAAAAAAAAAAACTGTGAGTTATTATAGAGTTGAAAGATAGTGTAATTAGATTAATTTATTTATGACCTATAATAATCTTAGCAGAAAATAAAATTGTCACTTTCTTTTTATTGCTAAGGATTAGCGCAGTCGGAAGCCAGTTGAATTGGTGCCTGCTAGGCGATTAAATCCCGCTCTGTATTCTGATTCCACGGTCAGTGTTTGCTAGAGACAGCCCGCTGTTTGCTTTAATTCCCTCAGCCTAACTAACACCAAAACTGTTGTGTGTTTCTTGCAGATAGAGTTCTATTAATGGTACAGACAAAATTCGAACAGGTTAATGTATCAAAAATTCACTACTCTATATGAGTGTATGTTAAATTATTGTAAGTAAAAATTGAAAAAAAAAAGTTATTTTTTTAAGTGTTAAAAGATTACATAATCAGATTAATCTGTTTATGACACAAACTACTTCACACCTGCATGTCAAAAGTTCATATGGATAGCTCTCCTATCATATCATATAACCTGTTATACCACTTCAGTCATTTTAATCCCCACAATCTACAGATTTTTATGACATTTTTTATAAACATTTAACACTTTTATGCCTATTTTCACAAATTCAATTTTGTATTAAACCACCCATGTCACATATCATTGAAAAGAGAAATTGAGTCCTGAATATACCAACCATATTGCTAGGATTAAGTGATAAAAAAATTTTGATTGTATGAATTTATTTGTATGGACATTCTGTATATTGAGGGTTTGGAGCACAATTGTTATTTGTCCATTTTAGTAGTTTTGAGAAAACGATGTTTTAAACATTGTAAATGACATATTAAATCAGGTAAACAATACAATCCAAAAATTTTGCAGTGATGTCATGTGTGGTAATTGTAGCCTCCGAATCCACTATAATACAACAATGTTGCAATATTGCATAGCAGCAATAAATGGACATATTGCTATTGCGCTCCAGGATTATTAGCACACATAATGACATAGTCGCACTATCAACTGATATTAATATGAAGAACAACATTGGAATTTTTCAATATTTTATTTTGTTTGTTCATATGTATTATGAATCTTCTTCTTCTTCAACAACAGTGCCACGTTTTGATGAAGGTAAACTTTCATAGTAGGTCCTATACTCAGGTGGGATTAGGCTAAGGAGATCATTTTTTTTTCCTTAGTAAATACCTCTCTGTAGTGACTTTCTTTAACCGGGTTTTCGAAAGAGGTTTCAAGACAATGCAGTTTGTAGAGTTGGTGCATTTGCTTAACATTTAATTCTGGAGATAAGTATTGAATACTAGTATCTTTACGGCAATAATGTGCTTCGATTCTAGGGAACGAATTAATGTGGTCTCGAACATGTTGCAACCTCTCTTCAGATGTTTTGTTTGGCGGAACTTTACCAATGCGTAGGTCCTTGCCAATATATGCACCAGATTCACCTATGTCGTTCACACCTCCTCTGTAAAGTTGTGAGCACACTTAAAGCGGCATCCAGTTCGAAAACACTTTGCCACTTAGGGTTTCCTTTCGGAAACTAACTTTCCCTTTATCAAAACATACTCAGTTCCAGCACTCCTACTCTGCTTACGAATATTGTGTTTCCACAAATTAGATTGACGTTTTCGTTTTCTTCCACGGGTTGGTTCATTATCAGCAGTATGATCAGGAACTGCTACACCATCTCTAACAGGGTCTGCAATAACATCGGTAACAGGAATAACATCAACAGGTTGACTGGAAACATCCACATCAGTAACATTAGGGACCACAATGACATGATCTGAAACATCAGCTACAAAAGGACAGGGATAGCATCAAGAACATCAGGACCAACAACATTTGGATCGTTTCTTGTTGGTTTGTCAATGTCATTGTCATCTGAATAACTCATTGAATCGCCTTCAGGTTGATAATCTGGATCATCAGACTCAACGTCAGATTCATCACTATTGGTATTACTATCGGCATCACCCTGCTCTTGACTTGACTGAATTTCTTCACAACTCTTAACAATAGATTGGATTGCACTGCTACCATCGTTTCCTTCGAGTTCTATAACCCCATCATCATCAGGTGAATCTTCTACTAATGTTTCATTTATGCAGGCTACAACTGCCTCGACATCTAATGTCCTTTTAAATCGATTAAGTTCCATGATCCCCTGAAAAACGAATAGTTTTGAGTTTTTACTATAGTTTTGTGTCTTAGATTACGGTTCCAAGTAAAGGAAAAGTGTGGCCATGCCCGGTCTTAAATTAAAGCACCCAATAAATAATTTGCAGTCATTAGTAAGCCTTAATAATCATTCAGAACTTTACCCCCCCCCCCCTTTTCTTCAAATGTGTGTACATCTAGTTTAAAGCCTTATTCAGGGTTTGTTACAGCAGGGATGACATGCCATAGTGGTGAATACATAGGAATTACAGTAGGCTACCTACTATGGGGAAAGAACTCAGAGATCCTTAAATTACTTTCGTGCGACAATACACAGAACGAAATAGCAAGGTCAATTTATCTCAACATTGAAACACACAACTTGTATAAATAATAAAAGTAGTTACCTTAAATGACTTGGTTTAACTTGGCATTTAAGTCGAAATTCAATATTTGTAGTTTACAAACAAGCACATGGTCTGAATGTGACCTTGAACTGGTCAACAGGGTAACCAGCAATTGCAATCGATATTGATCATGTAAACAAGTGCACAAGAAACATAGTTGTACAAAATATACATTCATAAAAGTACATAATCTGGACATGTCACAATTGTGCTCCAAACAATACAGTACAGCTGGATAGCAAATATCACATGTCCGGACATATAACTTTTGAGCACCAAGTGATCCTGTTTTGGTGGACATGGCACATTATGTCCTGTGAATTTCAGATCAATCGGATAATAAGCGGCTTTTTTTTAAATTTTGGATTCAATTTTTTTTGACAAAAATATTTAAAAATTGAATTTTTTTTAGCCCTACCAGATACGTCTTATAACAATGAACATATTAAAGAAAAATTCAGGTAAATCGGTTCATAAATAAGCCCTACAGACTTGATGCAAAATACTTGCACATTATGCAATGGCACACTTCCGGTGTAGCAAAAATTGATTCCAGGTCATTTAAAAATGTCTGGTGAAGATAATTATGCTATACCATTTTCGATTTTGTCTAGGGACCATCCCAAAAAAAAAAAAAAAAAAAAAAAAAAAAAAAAAATAAACATAAAGAAAACAAAGCGTGACAAATCGGTAGATTTGCCACGCAATTATTCTGAGTGCCTAGTCTGCTATTCTCAGCTCTATTTTCAGCAATTTCTAGCTAAAATGGTGCTATTTTAGATAGCTTTACTTAGGGTTGATTATATTTGAGAATAGCTAGCTATTAGAGGCTATTATAGAGAATTTTGATAAAATAAGTCCAAACTGCTCTATCTTCAGCTATTTCCAGCTAAAATAGAGCTATTTTAGAAAGATTTTGAAATTATTCTGTTGCCAGCCCCCAACCTAACCCTAATGGTAGTCACAATAGTAACTTATGTATTTAGAACTGTTGCCAGCCCTCAACATAACCCTAATGGTAAACACAACAGTAGCTTATACATTTAGAACTGTTGCCAGCTCTCAACCTAACCAGAAAAGTAGTCACAATAGTACCGACGCCAACCAGTCCCCACTCATAAGAAGGACGAACCCTTTGTGAAGGTGTTCTTCCAAGTTTTGCAGTGCCTCCATCATTTGGCAATCCTTACCATTCAACAGCAAGGTCAACCAGCATTTATCTTCAAACGCAAAGTGTCTGAGTTGGATAGTTTTATCCGTCCAGCAATGAAAACATCAGCTGATAACACTACTGGTTTAACGGCAGTTCGTAAAGCTTTTAATAGAAACCCAGATCCAAAAAGACCTGACAGCTTTTAGAGATTTGTCTTAGTCGAAACGATTTCACATTTAATGGTAAAACATATTTACAAACTTCAGGGACAGCAATGGGCAAACGATTCGCCCCTTCGTACGCAAACCTTTTCATGGCAGAGTGGGAACGTGAGGTGCCCCTCTGTCCATTTGACCCACTTTTTTACGGACGCTTTTTGGATGACATTTTTATTGTTTGGACTTATTCTATCGAACAGTTTTGGGAATTCTTTGAAATTCTCAACAACCACCAACCTTCTATCAAACTAACCGCAAACGTGAGTGACAAAAGCATAGACTTTCTCCATACCACTGTCTTTAAGGGAGATTTCATAGCAGAAAGAAATAAACTGGATATTAAAGTGTATTTCAAAGAAACTGATACTCATCAACTCTTGCACAAGAGCTCTTTTCACCCAAAACATACCTTTTCTGGTATATTAAGTCACAAGTTTTACGATTTCATCGAATTTGTACAAGATCTTCTGATTTCAACCAAACCTGTACGATTGTTTTCTCAAAACTGAAAGAGTGTGGATACTCTAAACGATTTATACGAAACATAAAAAATTCCACCTTAGCACAGATAGCAGCTAAAAACAGACTTTATGCTGAAGTACCTCCAGGTTTAAGAAGTGCTCCATGTTTGTCCAGTAGATGAAAAACATGTCTCTTTATATCAGAAACTCATTATTTTGTAAGCAACTCTACGAATAAACATTCGAATGTAATATGCAAGAAATGCCCCAAACAATATGAAGAAGAAATTAAGAATAATTTACGAACTCGTTTTAATGCTCATAGGTCGGACATCAAATTACAGAAAGACAAGCCTGTTTCTAATCATTTCAACTTCGACGATCATTCAATAGACGATCTCACCCTAATCCCAATTGAGCGCATAGAAATTGACTTGCCCGAAGATGAAACTACCAAATTCCGTCCATCTAGGGAAGCCCATTGGATTGAGACATTGAATACAGCAAGACCTATAGAACTAAATATTCACAATAATGTAGGCAAAGCACCCTTTGTTGTCCCGTTTAATACAACCAGCAATCGAGCAAGCAAGATAGTTCATGCCCACTGTAAGAGCCTTTAAGAGAAATTCCCCCATGTCTATAAGCAGAAAATGATAGTTGCATATTCAAAAATAAGAACTTAAATGATAACATTGTTCATAGTAAACTAAGACAATCAGTACATAACAGATACTATACTTATTTTTTGGGGGAATCAAACCCTCCCTTCCCCAAAACCTAAATGTAGTCACAATAGTAACGTATGTATTTATAACTGTTGCCAGCCCTCAACCTAACCCTAAAAACAGTCACAATAGTAACTTATGTATTTAGAACTGTTGCCAGCCCTTAACCTAACCCTTAAGGTGGTCACAATAGTACCTTATGTATTAAGAACTGTTGCCAGCCCTCAACCTAACCCTAAAGGTGCTACAATTGTTTGAACAAAGCAAGTAATTTGAAACGAAATGATTGGTTTGATTCAAAATGTAAATTAGCAAGGCAATCATTTAACAACAGTAGAAACATTTTCATTAAGAAACGTTCACATGAAAATAGGAAAGTTTTCTGTCAAAATAAACGAGATTTTAATCGTATCAAACGTAGGACTAAGTATAAAATTGGTAAGGAATACGGACAGCGAATCAGTGCACTCCATAAAACAAACCCAAAACAATTCTGGAAAGTTTTAAAGGATAAAAATTTAAGCCCCCCAAGTCTTAACTGTCTGTAGACCACTTCTACTACCATTTTAGTAACCTGGACAGTAATAGGGATGTTATTAAAGGGAATGTTCCACCTGTTTCAAATATTGAGATATCAATAGATACGCTTGATAACAAAATTACTACTTCTGAAGTTTTCAGGGCAATCCGTAAGCTCAAATGTGGTAAAAGTTTTGGTCCTGACAATATTTGTAGTGAGTTGTTTATGGAATGTTCTAATATGCTTGGACCATTTCTATGTAAACTATTTCATATTATCTTTGCCTCAGGGTGTTACCCAAAGGTTTGGCAAGATAGTATTTTAGAACCGGTTCCAAAAATAAGGCAACCCTAATAATGTTGATAACTATCGAGGTATATCTGTTATGAAAATTTTTGCTAAGCTATTTTCATGGATTTTGAACCGTCGTCTGACTGGTGTGAAAGTAATGGAAAACTCGATAACTGTCAATTTGGTTTTAGAGCGAGTAGAAGCACTGTAGATGCTATATTTTTATTAAATGGTATTATAAGCCACTCTCTCAATAATAAAAAACAGCTATTTTGTGCCTTCATCGGTTTAAGGAAGGCATTCGATTTTGTTGACAGAAATTTACTCTTATTTAAGTTAAACTCGTTAGGTGTAAGCAGCAAATTTGTCTCAATTATTAAGTCTATGTATACTCAGGTTAATTCTATTGTTAAGTATAAAGGATGTCTTTCAAATCAATTTGGTAATTTATATGGTGTTAAGCAGGGTGAACCTTGTCGCCTCTACTTTTCCTAATATTCATCAATGATCTTCATGATTTCATTTGCAGCACTAATTCCGGCTTCGTTAAGATTAGTAATATCTTAGTATATCTGTTGCTTTTTGCAGATGATACTGTACTTTTTGCAAACACAGCAACTGCCCTTCAAGTATTGCTAGATAAATTTAGTCTGTATTGTGCCACCTGGAATCTTGAAATCAATGTGAACAAATCCAAAGTAATCATATTTCATAGGGGACATTTAATTAACAATTATACATTCAATATCAATTCCGTTAGTCTTGAAATAGTTTCTGAATATATTTATCTAGGTTTATTGTTTGTCCAAAATGGAAAGTATGTTTGTGCTGTTAAACGAATGCTTCTCAGAGTAGAAAAGCCCTTGGTTCCTTTCTATCTTTGCTGAAATTCATCCACTTAAGTATTTCTAGCAAATGTCTTCTGTTTCAATAATTGGTTGTTTCTGTGTTGTCATATGCCAGCAAAGTGTGGGTTCTTTGGATGGTAAACCGTTGGAACATATACAAAATGATTTTATACATTATATTTTACATTTAAGTAAATCCACTCCGTTAGTTGCTGCTTTAGGTGAACTCGGAATTTTTCCTTTATATATACAGCGTAAGATTCATATTGTTGAATTATGGAATAAGGTTGTTTGTTCTGATAATCTTCTTATTTCTGGTATATACAAGATTTTGTGCAAGGATGACGCTAATGGCAAACACAACTGGGTCACCGA